ATATATATGCATACATTTACATTTTTTTTGGTCTAGACTTATCTTTTATTAGTATAGAGATCTCCCATGAGGCAACTCCCTCTGCCACAGCAGAATGGCAATTGTTCCATGACTTCTATGACTATAGTCTTAGAGAATAACTTGGGCACTGAAAAGTTAAATTGCTTCCAGGGATCACAAAACCACCAGGTATCAAGTGGGATTTAACCCAGGTCTTCCTAATTCTAAGACTGACTCTCTATCCACTACAACAGGCTGCTTCTCACACATCTCCTGGGGCATGGATACTTCTGAGCCAGTCAGAGACAGACAGAGGATACAGTCTAACAATCCAACCGAACAAGCATTTTTTAAAATTAATTAATTTATTTTTAGTCTTCAGTATTCACTTTTATGAGGTTTTGAGTTCTAAATTTTTCCACTTCCCTCCCCTCACCCTCCTCAAGATGACATGCCATCTGATATAGGCTATGCATATACAATCATATTAAACATATTTCTACATCAGTCATGTTGTGAAAGAGGAATCAGAACAAAAGGGAAAAACCATGAGAAAGAAAAAAAGAGAGAGAAAATAGTATGCTTCAATTTGCATTCAGACTTCATAGTTCTTTCTCTAGATACAGATAGCATTTTCCATCATGAGTCTTTTGGAATTGTCTTTGATCATTGCGTTTCTGAGAAGAGCTAAGTCTATCAAAGTTGGTCATCGAATAATATTGCTGTTACTGTATACAATTCAACAAGCATTTATTAATCAGTTATTACATTTATGGTACTATGCTAGCACTGTGCAGTCAAATCAAAAGTCCCTACCATCAAAGAGATTACATTATACGGAAGAGGTTCAAATTCATTGGAACTTTAAATACTATTTAATACATACTATAGGATTTCATTTCTGGTTTCCAGATAGAGTATTTACCTGATAGATAGGAATCCATCATACATTCCCAAAGGGAGCTTTATAAGGATCAATAGCTATGGGCAACATGGGCTATTCCCAAAATGCAGAAATTTAGAGCACTAGCAATACTTGGAGACTTTGGAAGCATAGAAACAATTGGTCTTAGCACCTAATTGAAACAATTCAAGAAAATCAGCAGCTGTGAGATGTTATGGACCAATGCCTCCCAGGCACCAGTCCCTGGGCCTGCTTGTGTCCATCCTTGCCTACGGTTCAATAATGGCCAGCTACAGCTATGGCTGCAAGTGAAAGGAGAAGTCTAAGAGTTTCAATAGGTGGATTTGAATTTTGCCTTCTCTCCTGTCAGTGTGGTACGATGTAAAAATTTCTGGATTTGAAGTTAGAGGCCCTCTCTTTGTTACTTACTACCTTTATAACATTGAACAAGTCATTTAACCTCCTTGGGGCCTCTCTTTCCTCATCTGTAAAACAAGGGGATTGAATCTGGAAAACATTTGATGTCCCTTCCAGCTCTACCATTCTGTGGTTCTAGGGATAACATACCTGACTTCTGGATTGGGACTTAAGAGAACAATTTTCTGCTAAAGTGATTTTCTACAGCCAAGCTAACACCTCTGGGTCAGGAGGTTTCCGAATAAATGCTGACAGACCCCAGCCACAAAGGCTTGACTACAATTTTAATAAAACTGTCGGATTAAGTGACTACATGGGCGCAGCATGTTACTAATGCAGGCTCCTAACTGTCAATTAGTTAACTGGCTAGAAAAAAAAAAACCTGCTAGCTTATAAGATTGCTACTAATGAATATAAGGCTTTGTTTCTGGGCAAAACATATGCTTTGGATATATAATTAGAGGAAGGGCCCCCTCTCTCCCTCCCCATGGAGAGAGCATGTGTGGCTGAATAAAAGAGCTTATTATACCTGTGAGGGGTCAAAGTCTGTGGGGCTGTAGTTTATAGCATTATGACAGATTACAAAATCACTCCATTATGTTAGTCAATCTGTTTCCAAGCTCAGACTGGCAGGAGAGTAAGGCACTAGAAACTCACAAATAGGGTTCCCATTGGCCTTGTCACTAAGGTCTTATGATAGGTCAGCTGTCGGTGACATCACCCCTACAGGATCACATGCCAAAACCCCTTCGTCTGACTTCTGTCTTTGTTAGCTTGGAAGCTCTCTACTGATAGTCAGGCTCTGCTTTCAAGATTGCAAAGAGCTCCTGGGAAGGGTTGAAACAAATGGGAGATCTGTGGGTAGCTGTCACTTGTACTAATGAAAGAGAGAAAGCAGCAGCAGAGCACTTATATTCCATCTGACCTCTACCCAGCTCTTGCTTTCTCTTTCTCTCTCTCCCCTCCAGGCCCCCCACCTCCTTTAAAAAAAAAGGTTTTTTGAAGAGAGAGGACAGAGGGTAAACAGCATCAGCTGGCAAAGGACACTCTCCACCAAGAGTCTGTTTCAGAGGCAATTGCCCCAGGTAGCAATACAAAGATTTCCAACAGGAGAGCTTGAAAGATGTCTGACTTTGCTCTATTGAAAGGCAATTGTATTCAGTCGGCAGTATAATAATTACCATTAAGAGTTTCCCCTTTTCCCCCAGCCCCCTCCCCAGGTATCTGTTCCTTGAACAGAAGCTTTTCTCCATTTTTAAACCTGGTGGACTAGGCTCCCACATGGCTTGCTTTCTGCAAATCAATGAATGTTTAAACAAAAGGGAATTTCTCTCACCTCAGTCTCCCCAACCCTATTCTTGATTGGTGATTTACACTTCAATCACTGTATTTATATTAAACTGGTTTAAAAAAAAATAAAAATCCCCAATTTTCCAAGTAACAAGATGAGATAAAAATAATTTTTATTTAACAGACTGAAAACATGAAGTAAAAATGTCCTGGTTTATTAACCTTTAAAGCAGGAACGCAGGTTTAGTTCTGAATTACCTAACAGGTTAACTCTCCTTAGCGATCCCATTTCTTAATACGTTAGCTACCAAGTGGTGCTGCTAGCCACTATTTTGATTCTATTCAACAGGAAGATTTAGACGATGGTAGGTCTCATGCTCGCTTTGACTGTTAACAGTGCTTCATTCTTACCTCCTTTATTGGCATCATCCATGGCCTATCCCTTAAGCTTGTGCTTTCTATAAGCTTCTGTCTTGGACCCTCTCTTTCTTTCTCTTGGTGTTCCTCTTTGTGATTGTCAGTTTTTCTAGGTTCAATAACCTTTTCTATGTGGATCACTCCCAGTTTTTTATCTCCAGCCTTGATCTAAGGTCCAGTCTGACTTCACCTATCATACATTTCCAACTCAGTGTTCCACACGCTTCTCAGACTCAATATGTCCTAAATGAGTCAAGTATGCCAAGTCAACAAGCATTTATTAAGTGCCTACTGTGTGCCAAGTAACCACTAGAGATTGAAAGAAAGGTAAAAACAGTTCCTATCCTCAAGAAGCTTACAATTTACAAAACCCATTCTCTTCCTTCCTCTTCTGTAAACTTCCCTCTTTCTGTTGAGGACAACACCATTCTTCCAGTTACCCAAGTTCACAACCTCAAAGATATCGTCTACTCTCTCCTCATTCCTGTGTCCCCCTGCCCCTCATATCCAGTAAGTTACCAGTTATACCTTCACTACATTTCTTATCTCATTCTCTCCACTCACACCACCACTACCCTCATAACTATTTGCTTTGACTATTGCAACAACTTCCAAATTGGACCTCCAGGCTCTCAGGTCTCCCATCTATCCTATTCATGAATACCAAAATCATTTCCCTCAGGTATACAGAACTCAAGAACTTTCAGTGATCAGTTGCCCCTGTGATAAAATGCAACCTGCTCAGCATTTAATTGCCATCTACAATCTGCTCCCAGCCTAGCTTTCCAGGTTTAGTGTCCATGATTCTCCTTCACATAATCTATGTTTCCTTTCCCCCTGGCCTTTGCATGAGCTGTGCTTGATAACTGGAATGGACTTTCTCCTCACACTCTGCCTTTTGTTAGCTCTAGCTTTCAAGTCTCAGCCCAGATCAGGAACCCTTTCCTGATTCCTTTGTTTTTAGGGCTCTCTCCCTTCTCAAATTATCATGTGTATGTGTTGTATTGTCCCCAAAAGCATGTTAATTCTATGTAAGCAGGGACAGTTTTCCATTTTCTTTTTGTATTCTCAGTACCTAGTAATGATAATTTTGTTGATCAGTCATATTTGATTCTTCATGACCCCATTTGGGGTTTTCTTGGCAGAGATATTGGAGTGGTTTGCCATTTCCTTCCCCAGCTCATTT